AATGCCAAACATGCCAAAACTTTGAAAACATGTTGGGAACAGGAATTTTCAAGTTTGGAATGTTTTTAAAAAAAATTTAGAAAGATTTCAATGTGTTTTTTTGCAATGAATTGTGACATAATGGTACAAGATTCTTGTCTTGTTCTTGTTCCATTTCATTCCTCTATAAATACATGCAATACTCAAGTGCAAAGGACACAAAAGCTGCTCCAAAAAAAGACACTCCAAAATTTCAAAAATTCTCAAAACTAGGGTAAGTTATTAACTCAGTTGCAGCCACGATCAAAACAACCCAGCCTTTCCATTCACTTTCAAGAGCATTATAGGGTAAGTTTGGATAATTTGTAATGATTCAAAGAGAATGAGATGAGCATACATGCTACGCCATTTTTCTTAATTTCTTGCAAATTTATTTTTCTGTGTTCACTTTATTTTATTACATACTACCACCACTAATGATATTCTGAGGTAAAACAATGCAGGATATATTTTTGCTATTATTTTCCAATCTTTGCAGATTTATCATATAATGATCAAATTCCATTTTTCAAATACCAAGCGCGCATGGTTTAGATGGCAAAGGATGAAGATTGTAAATAGAAGAGTGTGGGTTCAAACCCCAACACCCTCACCTTTCTTTTCTTCTTTTCAATACTTTTTAACCCTTTTCTATTTTTCTTTTTTATTTTGTCTAATTAATTTAATTTTTCTTTTTAATCCTTTTCTTTAATCAATAAAATCACAAAAACATATAATAATATCAGACCTAGACTTTTAATAGGTTAATTTAATTTCTAGATAATATTTTTCTTAATTAATTAATTAGACATAGGTTTCTTTTATAATCAATTAAATATTTAATTTATGTTTAAAGTCTTATTATTTTATAATTTAAATCAAACCTAAAATGCACCCAAAAAAATTAATTTCTAATGTTTTAAATTTTAGGACTTTAAAACATTATTCTAACCTTTATTTTTCTTCGTCATTTAAATTTCTAAAAACAAATGTATAGGTCGCACAAATATTTTTGTAATAGCTTAGTTTATTTTCCCGCATTTTTCCTATCATGTAACTGTTTATGGGATGTAATAGCTTAGGTGTAAATTCTGCATTTTTCATTCCGCACTTTTTCTTATGTAATTTCCCCAAGGCCCTGTAACAACGTAGGACTTTATTTTTCTGCACTTATAATTATTTGCTTGTATGTATATGATAGTATAGTAACTAGGCGTGTATGACAATATTTAAAACAAAGCGCTAGAAAACCTAATCGAGACAAATTAACTGAAAATAAATCACTTTTCACACACGTACCTCTAGGATGACTCCACTTGTTACCTTCGGAAAAACAGTCATGTCCCTCGAACGTAGGGATACCATTAACAAAAACCCTCGGTTAAAAATTATTATAAAGATCATAGTCCCTCGATGACCCTTCGATGCTGCCTTCGGTAAATGATCTTGTCCCTCGATGTTTCCTACGAATACATGATGATAGTCCCTTCGAACTGCTAAAGGTATCCCTATATGTTTCCTTTTAAAAATAATAAACTATGTTGCCTTTGAAATTACGGAAAACGATTTATTATCTCTTTTAAAAATAATAAACTATTTTGGTTAGACAATTTTGTCTTTTTTCTCTTCATTTTTTATCATATCTTTAAACACAAATGCGTGTAACACACCAATACTCGTGTGAACGCATGTGTAACACAGTAGTACCGTGTGAACACACGGGTAACCATACCAAAATCTGTGTCAACGCATGAGTTATTATATTTTTGTACAATTAAAGAAAATAAAAATAAAAATAATGTATTAATCCAAACATGAGAAAAATGTGTTGTTTTATACTAATTTATTTCATTTTATATTATATCTTTGAAAACAAATGCAAGTAACACACCAATACTTGTGCGAGTGCACATGTAACATATAATTACCCTGTGAACGCAAGAGTAACCATACCAAACTATTGTTCCAATATTCCTAAGTCGTGAAGTTATTGATAAAACTATTGAATATTATTGGAAATATAAAGTTACTAATTATATTAATGAATATTAACGAGAACATAACGTTATTGATCAAACTAGTGAATACTAACGGGAACATGAAATTACTAATCAAAATATTGAATATTAACGGCACATGAAATTACTCATAAAATATTGAATATTAACGAAAATATTAAATTACTGATCAAAATATTGAATAATAACGGGAACATGATGTTACTGATCAAAATATTGAATAATAATAGAACAACTTTACTTTAAATATTTTTGACAATAATTCTAAAACATAATATATATATATATATATTATGCGTGTACCATACCGATACCCATGCGAACGCACGGGTATCCCACTAGTTAATTAATAAAATAAACCCTAATTTATGACTAATTCTCCACAAATTTGTCTTGCCTACGGTGTTTCCTCGTTTCCTTGCTGATCAAGTTTCATAACGGATACTTTTGGACCGAATCAACTTTATTTCCCCCCACGCTCTCTCCCTTTCAGGTCAAATTTTCGCCTACTCTTACAAGCCATCCCATCTCATTTTATTTACTCCATATTTCCATATTCGAATATCTCTCTTATCTCTTTGCGTCTCTGCTTCATCTCAAAATTTCTTTTTCTGTTTTTGATTTTGAGTGGCTTCTTCCACCATCTACGTTTGGTATAAAAACCAGATACTCAGAGTGATATTCATATAAATTCGACTGGTCATATTTCCACCAGAGGGTTTAATGTTAGACCAACTGCCTATCATGCTAGTAGTAGTAATAGTGTATAAAGTTGAGCTATTTAAGGAGTGTCATGAAACATCTTAAAGTAAGTGACCTAGTCGGAGACTCAACCCAATAATTTATTCACTAGAAATTTTTCAAAACCCTAATACAACAATTTTAAGACGTTTCGAACTATCATGGCTACCAAAGAAATCATTGGTACTTCTGCGGATGCTGTCTTTGGCAAATTGTATAATTATCTTTGCAAAAGTAACATTCAAAATGGACTCGATGATGATTTGTATGATTATTACTGTAATTATGAGTGTGCAAAATAGGTTTTTGAAGCTTTGAAATAGAAGTATGATACTGAAAAAGCTTGAGCAAAGGAGTATGTTGTTAGCCACTACCTCAAATATTAGATGTAGATGAATGGATCGTGGAAGCTCAATATCACGAACTTCCAAAGATAGCTCATGAGATTATCACTAGAGTTATGCCCTTAGATGAACAACTCAATATTGCTTTTATTATTGACAAACTGCCCCATGGTTCGAAAGATTTTAAAAACTTGATTCGACAATAAACAAAAGAGATTTCAATTGAGAGTTTGATTACTTGCCTGTGAATTGAAGACGCATCTTTGAGACATGATAAGAAAGATGAACTCATGGTTGTTTCAAACAACAAAAAGAAATTCAGTGCGATTCTGAAGCCAGTTGAAAAAACCTCTTAAGAATCAGAACAATAATGTTTTGAGCTGAATTAAGAATGAGACCCCTTAAAGGGTCCAAATTGCTCCAATTTCTAGGAAGCATCCACCACCTAAAAGAAATGACGCTCTTGTTTTCACTTGATTTAATTGTGGAAAAATAGGTCATATGACTAAGACACAAGAGCAGACCTAAACCTGATGTTGGCTCTAGTGCACAGGTTAACCTGACTGATAAGCAATTTATTATTATGATTAGTAAAATCAACATGGTTGGTGGATGTGTGTATTGGTGGATAGACGCGAGCACCTCTCGTCGTGTCTATTATGATCTTGCTATGTTCAAAACATACATGAATGCCGAAGGTAAGAAAGTATTGTTGGTAGAAGCTCACACAACTAATGTTGCTTGAATTGGAGACGTGGATATGAATTTCCCTTTTAGAAAGATTTTAATCTTAAAGAATGTCATGCATGTTCCCGAGATTAGGAAGAATCTTGTTTCTGAATTTCTTTTGAATAATACAAAGACTAGTCAAACTATAAGGGAAAATTTGTTCAACATCTCTATGAATGGTATTTTTGTTGGGAATGGATACGCTACTGATTGCATGCTTAAGTTGAATGTTGAATTAAATGAAATTTATTCTCCTGTTTACTTCTCATGTGATTTTAATGTTTTGCATGCTAGAGTTTTTTATGTTAATAAGCACATTATCTCTAATTTAATTATCTAGACCTAATCCCAAAATTAAATGACAACGAGTTAGATAAATGTGAGTATTGTATTCAAGTTAAAATAACTAAGACTTTAGATATTATTAGAGATCTTGATACCTTATATCTTATACCCTTTGATATATGTGAGCTAGATGAAACTTTAACTATAATAGTAAAGATGATTTTTTCATCTTTATTGACGATTTCTAAGACTATACCTATGTATAGTTAATGAAGAATAAAATTGAAGCACTAATTGACATGTTTAAGCTCTATGTGAATTAAATTGAAAATCAATTTAGTAAGAAGATTAAAAGATTTCGTAGTGCTAGGAGAATTGAATATGATTCTATTTTATTTAATGAATTTTATAACCAACATGAATTTGTACATGAATTGACTGCACCGTATTCTTCTAAAATTAATGGTAAAACAAAAAAAAAAGAATAAAATTTTTATTAAATTATTCATAATTTTTGCGCTACATCTCACTAATGGGAGAAAATTTTATTGAAGGTTTGTTATGTCCTAAATAGAGTTTGCAACTCTAAAAAATTCCAGGACAAGCCATAATTAAGGAATGACCGCAATTCAATCATGAACAAACAAATGGTTGGAGAGCAAACTCAGTAATAAAAAAAAAATAGACATCGAAACAAGAAATCAACTAAATTTTCGTAACAAAAGTTGACATTATTTGTGGCTCACAACCCAGAAATACATGTGTATACACTTTCCATATTCCACAGAACAAACAAATTGGGGAAGAGGAAATCATTCAAACTACCAAAAATAAAGCATGATAATAATTTGTTTAAAATTTTAAAATGTCAAACAAATTTGTAGTTGCTTTGTTGTTGGTGGTTGTGTGCCTTGTAACTGTTCAAGGTCAGAATATTACCTATAATGCAGGTTCAGGTGAACTCGGTGTGTCTCATGAAGATTGCTTCGATTATTGCACCAATGATAGTAAATTGCCCGCATGGCTTATAGAGTTTTTATGTGGAGGACTTTGTCATGTGTTCAATCATATCCGACTGTAAGTTTCACTTCATCTTTAGGTTATAAATGCAACTCAGATATGAACACTTTATTAGTTATTATTATTATTAATAACAACAAAGTGTTTTCCATCTGAGTCAATTTTGTTTGGTTTGCTTTTTACGATGATTCTAAATTAAATGTTTATTGTGGTAGCTTTTGATGGTTTTGGCGCAAGGAAGATGGTGGAATTGGTGCTCCTGTAGATTATTCTGACCTAGCTCCATAGGCTTATAGAGCATAATGGATTTGACCAAAAACACAAATTTAATTCATGTCATCATCTGTTTTCCCATCATTGTAATTTGTAAACTATTATATATAGTGACTTGTTATACGCTAATTTTTCAATTATATGTTTTCTAAGAGCCAAAAACATTCTTCTTTTACAATTAAGAAATTGAATCATGTGAAAGAATTGATGAACATTCTTCTTTAAAAAAGAGACGAATTATATATTAATCCAACCTAGTAGTTTTTCATGTTTAATTTTATTTTTAATCTTAAACCTTTGATAATCTAAAGAATAATAAATTCTCGATTAGGTAATATTGTAGTTAGGAATATATATCTCATATGAATTATTCTCAAACCTAAACTACTAAGACTTCGACCAATTATATGTATAAAGATGTAACAAATAAAATAAAGTACTAAAATGAGAGGTTAAAATATAATGTAAAATGATATTTTAGATTATTGATAGACCGAAAATCTAGAATTTTATCAGTGTAGTATAAAAGATATCGTATCCATATAAACCAAATGACAAGTATCATTATCTATTGTTTCTGCATGTATCAATAACAAATTTAATGTGGAAATGGAAATAACAAATTTAATTCAATAATAATAACAAGAGACCCAAACAACGATTTTTATTTATCAATTTTATTCATGTAAAATGCAACGCCTAATCATAATGAGAAATTTGTTATCTAAAGAAAATATTAAACTAGTTATAGCATCCACTTTGGTCGATGCATCACCAGACCTTAATCCAAAAAAAATCGGTTTTCATAGTGTAAATAGCAAGTATAAAATATCTTTTACAAACTAAAAGATCCTTTCTCTATTTTTAGATTAAAGGTTTAGATATCAAGGTCAGATAACGATTCACTCTTTCGACACGTAAATAATATCTCAATGCTTCTACTTTTATAGCAAGACTTTTCTTTTCAAAACGGGTATTACAAAACAATACTTCAATACTCGTTACAATTAAATAACTAAGCACTTCACATAAATTAAATCGGTGAAATACTCATCATATTTTGGACTATAGAATAGACTAATCAGAGATGATAAATAACAACATGTATATAAAGAATACATAGTCAAAAATAGAGAAGAATGGAACATGAAAATAATTACAATTAACTCTAAAATTAAAGATGTTGTGAAGTGAGATTTTGGAAATTTTTTTTGGAATAATTAGGTATTAAATTTTTTTTCCGTAAATAATCATGTTTCGGAGAAAATTACGCAAATAACATGTTTCAGAAAATTCTTTAAGGGAGAAGTCATCCCACTTGGCGCCATCACCTTATTTTAAAGGGGAGGCACCATGTCACTTGGCGCCTAGGTGTTAAAGGCTTGCCCTAAGCCAAGTGAGATGATGCCTTAGTGCAATTGGGAGGCGATTTTTCGCGTTTTTATTTTAAATGCGGTGCGTTACGTATTCGATATAGGATCAACAAAATTGACTTTTTATTTACAAAATATGATTACACACATAACGATTACATAAAAAAATACAGATTAATCAGTGGTCCTCCAGAACCCGGTAATGACCCCCAGTTCCGCATCCCCGTCCTCACCTTTCCCTTGCTAGGTTTCGTCGCGTTTCCTGTTGTGGCAGGATCGATGACCCAACGAAGTCAATGCGTTCCGGATCCATAAAATCGGTCAGATCTCCATATCTAAAAGATCTGCTTTGGTACAGTCGGTTGCCCATATCCTCAAAGTTTGGTCGTGTTGGTGATGGATGGGGTTTCATGGTTGGTCTGTAGCACTGGTCGTCTGAGTACGGGGGGTAGAAAAGAAATGGATCTTGGGGTGTTTGGTATTGAGGATGTTGGGTGCTTTGGTGATGTTATGGTTGATGGTAAGTTGGGTCGGGTGGTTCATAATCTTCGGACAATTCCAAATCAGGGCTAAGGTTGGATGTTGAGGGGCCCATATTAGGATATGCAGAAGACTGAAATTGTGTGTGGGGTATGTGGGTGTATTGGTATTGTGATTGAAATTGTGGTTGGGTGTGAGGCATATGGGGGTATTGGTACTGAGGTGGTGATTGTGGTTGGTTGTGGGGCATGTGGGTGTAATTGTATTGTGGTGGTGACTGTGCACTATGCCAAACAAGGGATTAGACAGCGCTTTTTTAGGCCTTTAACAGCGCTTAAAAGCGCTGCTAAAACCTCCGCTGCTAAAGGTATAGACAGCGCTTTTAATGTGGAACTTTAGACAGCGGTTGGTAAAAGCGCTGTCTATTCCCCCCCTTTAGCAGCGCTTTTCCTTATTATTTTTTAATTTTTTTTCAATCACTTTAGACAGCGCTTTTATGAAAAGCGCTGTCTATTCCCCCCCCCCCCCCCCCCCCTTTAGCAGCGCTTTTCCTTATTATTTTTTAATATATCTTTTTTTTTTCAATCACTTTAGACAGCGCTTTCATGAAAAGCGTTGTCTATTCCCCCCCTTTAGCAGCGCTTTTCCTTATTATTTTTTTAATATTTTTTTTTCAATCACTTTAGACAGCGCTTCTCATTAAAAGCGTTGTCTATTCCCCCCCTTTAGCAGCACTTTTCCTTAATATTTTTTTAAATATAATTTTTTTTTCATTTAAAACAAAACGCTGCCTATCAAATTTAATCTCACCATTTTCGTACCAGAAATTATAGCTTCATTATAACATTTTAAACAACAACAACATCAATATACCACAATGAAACAATATTATAACAACATCAATATTCATCTCTTAAATCCTTTTTGCACAATATACACAACAACAACATTAATATATACCACAATGAAATAATATTATAACAATATCAATATTCACCTCTTCAATCCTTTTTGCACAATATACACAACAACAACATTAGTATATACAACAATGAAACAATATTAAAACTACATCAATATTCATCTCTTCAATCCTTTTTGCACAATATACACAACAACAACATTAATATATACAACAATGAAACAAAATCAACAATGAATTACAAAATAACTTTATCTTCTACATCGAGCTGCACCTATATAACCTAAAACAAAATCAAAAAATCAAAATTCATACAAGTTACCAAATAACAACAACAAAAACAATAATATTGTAACACAACTATAACGACATATATTATATTCTCAAAACTCAAAGTTATACCTTATAATAAAACTCTCAACTCCATAACAAATTGACACCAATCCTCCATAAGTTCATCCAATTGATCTTTTGAGTATGAAGCACACTTGAATTCATCAAAGTACTACGTAATAATATAACATAGTATGATTTAATTAAAATACTAAGTCATTTTATGAGAAATATGAAAATAATTCCTAAGTTAGAAATTCATACCGTGGATGGAATCTCTAATCGGTCCAAAAGAATAGTTTCTTTCATAAACCTCAACATAAAATAACCGCAATCTACACCATTGCACTGACGAGGACACTACACATGGAAAGAAAATATGGATATACATCAAGATATACACCTTAACTTGTTTTATCAAGTATCATCGCTATATAATCAAAACTGTGAAAATCTATACCTCCACTTTGATCCAAGAAATATTGTTGACTCTACTCCTTGGTACTTGAATATCTCTTTGTGCTCGAAAACTTTGTAGAATGCTATAATAAAATAACGAATATTTAGAACTATCGCACATAAATAATTAAATATACACAGTAATATTTTGGAACAATCTCACTTACGTGTCAATCGTCTTCTTCATATCTGGGTATGTTGTCCAGTCATTGCCCAATGAATCCAGATAATATACAATTTCTCTCACAGGATTAATTGCAACCAATAACCAGTGTCCACTGGAATATTAAACAAAGGTTAGATGGAAATTTTCTGCACAACGTTAAAAAACGAAAAATTATAATAGAGGAATTTTAGAATGAAAATCTTACTTGGGGTCAGTATTATATGGTAAAAAGAACAATTTTTCTGTATCTTTGTTGGCCATAAATAAACTGAGCACAAATGCTATTACTTCATCTGGTTTTGAGATTATTGACCCTGCATGGACAATGTTGGGATTTATGAAAGCGAATCTGGACTCCAATCCACGCTGGCGAATCAACTTGTCATACAGAAACCTTAAATAAAAACATCATTAACATTAATTATTCATTAAAATGAGTAAATAAATTCTGCAATTAATTAAACAAAGTTGATTGGAGTATACCTGATGTATGTATTGATAACAGTCATGCCTAATGTCAAGTGTCCAAAAACTTCTTCCAAATCCTCCTTACCAATTGCTGTCATGCCTTCAGAACCATAAATCCCTTCATCTAGGGGTATAAGAGAAATACCACCTTGCGAAATAGTTGTGAAGCTTATAAATGTCTGAAGGAACGACCTATATTGTGAAGTAGTTTTCTTTCTAGCCCCGATCCTCTTAGAAACACTCTTTGTTTCTGTGGGAATGTTGCTAATTACAGGCTCCTTACCCATACTTACAGCTTCAATCTCTTTAGCAGGAATAATCTAAATATCATAAAATTAGAGTGGTCAAGTATAGGACGACAAATTAACATTATCTAAGCATAAATATCATATAATTGTGTTGTACCTGTTTTTTTGCTGTCACTGACTCCTTTGGCCGCGTAATCCCTTTATCTTTTGGTTTGGGTTTTGTAGGAGTCTAACATTACCATGCAAAAAAAAATGTAAGTAAAAGGAACGTAACAAATTTGAGTACTAAAAGGTTCATAACGGTTTTAATTATACCTCATCATCTATGCGAACAAGCCTTGACGACCATGCAACAAACGCTCTTATTGCCTCTCCCACCAATGTTGCATCCGAAACTTCATCTGGGATTGGTAATAACGCACCCTCCTCTAAAGCAATATCAATCGACACTTTCAAATATCCAGAAGGGAGCGGTTTATGATGAAGTACTTCTCCCAGAG